CATGCTGAGTATCAAATTATCGATCTGATCTTGGGGGGATATTACACCACTCAAAAAGCAATGCTCTCCGAAGTTCCGGTAGACATGTAGGAGGAGGTTGACGGGCTGCAACTCGTCGGCCAAGCATGTCCCACACGTGCTCTACTGGATTCAAGTCCGGTGAGAATGCTGGCCAGTCCATACGGGTGATATCCTCCGATTGAAGGCATTCGCTTACGATGTTTGCACGGTGAGGACGGGCGTTGTCATCCATAAACACAAATTGTGCGCCCATGGCGCCCCGAAACAAACGTACATGTTGTTCCAGAATGACGTCCCCCGATAGATTTGGCTTGTCATGGTTCCAATTTGAACATGCAGGTCAGTTCTGGAACCCAGAATAATTCCACCCCAAACGAGCACTCCTGCACCACCGTAACGGTGTCGTTCAATGATGTTTTCTTGGTGGTAACGGGTACCTGGAGCTCTCCATATGAAAGTCCGGCGAGAATCAGACTGCAAGCTAAACCTGGACTCGTCGGAACGGAAAACATCACACAAGCCCACTGTTGCGGTGTCCACAATGCATGCTCTCTACTCCAGGCTAACCGCAGGCGACAGTGAGTTGCAGTAAGTGGAACGCATCTGACAGGTCTACGAGCATATAGACCAATCTGCCCTAAGCGTCTGTACACGGTCTGCCTTGAAATTGTCGTACCAGTGGCTGAAGAGAGCTGACGAGACAGGTCTGAGGCTGTGCTCCGCCTGTTTCTTTTGGCAGTAACTGCCAAATACCGGTCCTCATTCGGCGTTGTAACTCTGGGGCGACCTGTGCTGTAACGTCTACTCACATTACCATCATCTTGGAATCGTTGCCAAAGCCTGGAGATGACACTCTGGGCAATTCCAAGTTCGTCTGATACTTCCAGTTGGGTACGCCCACATTCCAGACGGCCGATAATTCTACCACGTAAAAAATCATCCAAATGCGTCCTTTGTGTCATAACTATTCGGTTATTGCACTGAAATGCTTATAAAGCGCCTGCGAACAATTTTACTTCTTCTGCCTGTATTCCTTATATATCACTCTCTTACACTCTCGTCATTGTGACGTACCATCGGTGTCATCTGGTTACTTCCTGAAATTTGCATATGATTCTTGAAGATGTGTGTAGTGATTTTACAGGTGATATATTTATTTTAGAGTTCGATTTCCGCGTGACTCCGAATTATCCTTAATTTATGGACATGAGTGCAGATTAAGATAATGTTTCAACCATACATATTTTGGACAAAACAATGCAAACTCTGGGTTTTCTTCCGCAAAAGATCCGTTGGCGCCGGTGCGTATTTATCGTGCGCGTATTTATCGCGGGCGTAGTGCTTCCCAAACTCTTATTTGTTATACAATTATTCAAACTATTTAACATAAATTTATTGTTGCAATAAAATAATAAGCAATCTGATCACACATATTATTTTGAAATGAATGCATAAACTAGACTAAAAAAATTCAGTCATAAACATTTGGATAGCAAGGCAAATTAGATATTTGAAAAGACAGCCAGCCATTGAGATACTATACAAGTAATTCACAACAGAATGGAAACAATTCATAAAGCTGTGAAACATTTAACTGTCAAAATGACATAAATAACATAAATTCGAAAAGCAAAAAAAGTAAACATACAAGTATTGCAACTGAACTTACCTTTCATGCAACAAAAAATATCCATACAAGTAAACCTCATGGCGCAGCCATTTTGGATTTCGTTTCAAATCACACAGACGTTTACGGATTTGCGGAAGAATACGAGGAACTAGTAGTTTGCCGGATACAATGTGCAATGACGCGAAAGAATATAGTTCTGCAGAACTTTCTACATTATTCCGTAATAAACAGTATTATTTCATAATTTTTTCTTTATCTAATTAATTAACTAATAGGGAAATAGTTAAATAATGCCGAATTCATTTTTAATGAAATGTAAAATTTTGCATGTATGTGATGACCACCTTCTGCCCAATATTTCTGAGAATATAAACAAATATCTGAGAATCTGAGAGTATCAGTAAATAAATATATAGAATATCGCCTCTCAAACGACCACTTCTGAAAGTGACCAATAGTTCTAAGATTATAAATAAATATTGATATTAAGCATTATTTCTCTAAGAAGACCATCTCTATATAAGACCAAAGCTTCTAGAGTCTTGGATAGTCATCAGAGAATTATTTTTACTGCGAAATTATCGCACGACTGTAATTCAATATCAATAACAGATCGCACGATTGAAAAACATTTTCAGTCCTGTAATTATGGGAAAATTTTTTGCCCTTTATAAGGTATTTCTCCCGCTTTCCTAGAGTGCCTTCGTGGTGTAGTGTTCTGCCCGCTGCCCGGTAATTCAGAGGTCCGTGGTTCGAATTCCGGCGAAGGCGGTTGCTAAATTTTCATCTCTCCGGCACTCCAAAAAAATTCTAATGTCTCTACAGTAGCGCGCGAACTAAAAGGGTGTTGGAAGAGTTATATCCACACTCAGAATTTAGCGATTGGGTCCCCCTTTAAAAAAAAGTCGCTCTCTAAAAAGAGGAGTAATATAGGGTATTTCTCCTGCTTTCCTAGTGTGCCTTTGTGGTGTAGTGGTTCTGCACTCTGGGCCGGTATTCCAGAAGTCCGTGATTCGATTCCCGGCAAAGGCAGTTGCTAATTTTTCATCTTTCCTGCTTCCAAAATAACACCTAATGTCTGTACACCCTAATTAAAAAAAATTCGTTTCCGTAATTAAAAAAAAATTCCAGTTTTACCTGTATTTATAGTAGGGTTTGTAATCTGTAAGTAATTTATAAATTTTTTATAAAAAAGTATATGTTATTTGGAATTTAGCAAATATTCTAGAAAATGCTAATCCATTGAAAAAAAATCTTTTCATGACTAAATAACTTTTATAAACGTCAGAAAAAATAGCAGTTAAAATTAATAACAAAATAGCAAGAATAAATTATCAATCATATCAATATTTTTAGTGTACAGCATTTAGAAACAACTTAGTAAAATACATATGAAAATTAAATAATGTGCAAGTTTCAGATGTGCAATGTCAAAACTAAAACTGGTAAATTTGAGAACAAATATCCTCAGAATGTTTAACAACCGAAGTCCCCTGGACAATACAGTATGAATGTCCTCAGGATATGAAATTGGTGAAGTCCTCAGGACATCCTCTCATATCCCGAGACATAGCGACTTAAATAAGACATCCTCAGGATGTTAAATTACGATGTCCTCAGGACATCTGAGAATCAACATACTCAGGACATCCTAAGTATGTCCCTGGATATTGCGACTTAAATATTACATCCTGAGGATGTTTTGTGCTTTGGAGGCGTATATGTTTTGTGTATCTAATGATAATGCTTCAAAGGATCATAGTGTACTCAACATATGAGTACACACGTTATGTATATATGCTACCGTATCCATGCTTTTGCATACACCTTGTAACATGGCAATGCATTATCCAGTGTCTAACATTAATTAGCTTTAACGCCACTGTATTGAGTATCAAATTTGTATGTATGTTTATGTATTAGTGTATTAGTATAATCACCACGTATGGTTATCTAGATAAAGGTGGACGTGGCGCTATACCGATTAACCGTATTGGTAGGAGGGGTGCCCACGTCCTCCGTAGCATGTGCAAGTTTAAGCATTTCAGGGTTTTTGTGTTGCCTTGCGTTTAATGTTCTTAGTAGTTTGAAGGAATAACTACTGATTATGCTCTATTATACTGAGAAATGTTGTACGAATACTTTTGCGTCAAAAGTTTCAGAACTGCAAAGTGGTTTTTTGGAAGATGAACTTCATCAAGTTGTCATCGGTTCTGTGTGCACTCAATTCATTACGAATCCGTCGGCAGGTAACACACTATCGAACTGTATGAGCCACATAATCATGAATTTGTTGAAATTTCACAAACGTAAACGACAACCAAATAAATACATAAATCTAAAATTTTATAAGATTTATATTAAATAAAGTTCCCAGTTGATAAAATATTTATCACTCTTACATTAGTAAAAAAAAAAGACCTTCCAAATCAGCATGTGACACATTAGAGAACGAATTTTCTCACTACAAGAGTACTGCCGCTGTAATTCAAAAGCTTTTAAAGCAAATAATTATGGAGCATATCAGATTGCTCATTTAATCGATTAAGAGTTCAACCTTGGGAAACACAGCTTTTATTATTAGCTGATTCATTGGAAATGTTTATTGAAGGAATCAGAGTGAATATTGTAGCGAGAGGGTTTTGAGACATTTTGTTTTTAATTAATTTTAAGCAGATTTGACGTTTAAGGAGATTTACAGAACTGAGACTATGTAATATTAGCCACTTTTTTTACATAGCCTTCTCCCGACATTGTCAAAACTACTTTTGTATGTTTATCTTGTTTTAAGATACCTAGTAACTGAAAGTATATATCTGGAATCACATCCAACTAAATGACATCCAAAGCTTTTTAATCTTAAGCAAATAAAGCTTTAATCCAGAAAAGGCTGTTTTCAAAAATTTCTCGACGTTGTTTTAAGACATCTTGTAAATGGGCATATATATCTCTTGCAATACATTCAATTAAATAAAACCCATAGCTTATAACAACACGATTTTCATAAATTCTGTGACTTGTTATAAGACTATTGTAACTAGACATGTAATTTTATAGTATCGAATTCAACCAATGAAGCCAAAGCCATCCTTTCGAAGCAAGCTGTGTGACATATTTATCCCCAACAGAAAAAAATATTATCTTTAGCTTTTAAAAAGATGATATTAAAATTCTTAAAAATAGTAGGATATGTAAAGTGAATGAGAATTAAGTGTCCAAAGACACTTCCAGATGATGCCATTCCTAAGATCAGAATGATATATTTTCACATAAGGAAATTAATCACATGAATTTGACTGTATTTAAATTCTAAATTTATTTTCTGACAATTTGTGATACATTTATTATTGTGAAATATTGCAATTTATTTTCATCATTTTTAGATTACCTGGAAATAGTCGAACAGAAGATTTACGGAATAAAGTAAAAAAAGTTAAAGAATTATGCGACGAATATGCAAAAACTGAACAGGGAAAAAAGATGGAAAAGTTATTTAAAGAGGTTTGCCCTTTTTTACCTTTAGAGTTTTAAAACTGATTGTTTACTACTAGAAAGTGATTAATTTTTAATTTCAGCGCTCCATTTAGGTATTTCAGTGTTTAAACTAACTATGTTTTTATCTATTTAATTCAATAATATTGCTTGGACAAATTTAAAAGTTTGTAGTCACAATTTAAATTAATCAAACTTTATAAAATAGGCGGTACAAACCCAAAAACTTTAAACTGTTTCAATATTTAAATTCTTCATATAAATAATTAATATTATAATTTGAGATTTTAAACCCTGATATGCACTTTTTTATTTTGTTTTGAAAAATGGTAACAAAAGTAGACGTACAATTATACCTCAGTATACGTCCACTTTGAAATACGTCCAGCTTGGAAATACACCAAACTTTGAAATACGTCCAACGTGGCCTTGCTTGGATGTGAAAAAGTTTGTTTGCAACACGATATTTGTTTGGAATACAATATTTGCTTGGAACACGATGTCTGTTCGGAATACAATATGTGCTTGGAATACGATACTTGTTTGAAATGTAATATTTGTTTTAGAACAGGATGGTCTGCTCGGAATACGATACTTGTTTGGAATACATTATTTGTTTGGACTACAATATTTCTTTGGAATGCAATATTTGTTTGCAATGCGATATCTCTTTTAATGCAATATTTATTTGGAATATGATATTTGTTTAGAATGCAATATTTTTCTGAAATACGATACTTATTTGGAATGCAATATTTGTTTGAAATACGATACTTGTTTGGAATGCAATATTTGTTTGGAATACGATATTTGTTTTACATACTATATTTGTTTGGAATACCATATTTGTTTGAATACTATATTTGTCTTTATTTCCAGATTGATACAGACTATAAAAGACTTACTGATATTGTTTGGAATATCTTATTTGTTTGGAATACTATAGCGAGTTCAGTTACATCTTATTTGATGGTTGCTCTTTGCAGACAGGAACACAGAGTTTCGAAAATATAATTTCTGTAGGGTTAAAAACTTTTTAGCATGTTTTGCTGGCGTATATTAAAGATACATTGGTATGAAGCTTCAAGTTTCTATTTCGGTTTCCATCGTTACACTCATTTTGAAATATTTTTTAACTAACAAAGAAGCAGAAGCAGAAGGGATAAGAAAATGTAATAATAAAGTCTTAAGAACTATAATATAATACGCAAGTTATTTCGTTTAGTCCTTTCATTCAAAATTTTTTAAAATTTATGAAGGTTATACATTTATATTTGCTGACTGTTATTAAAATTTGAAAGAGTTTCTAACAAATGCATTTATATTTCCAGATTGATGCAGAGACTATAACTGAAGAAGAGCTAAACGAGCTTTTGGATCAGATTACTCGAAAAAAAGACTAACAACAGAATTCGGATAGCTAAGAAAAGATTCGAGTTATTTGTTAAATTATTTGAAATATGTCATTGACTATTTAAAATATCTGTAAAAGCGATATGTCGATGTATTACAAATAATACAAACAAAGCCTCAAAGCAATAAAAATTTACTTTCATAAATCGATGGTTCCTGAAAGATAACGATTTCTTTTCCAAATTCCTTACTTTCAAAAACATTCTGCTTGTTTAATTTAAAAATTAAAAAAATACTACACAAATTATTACCAAGTCTGAGGAAAATGTAAAAGAAAAGGAAAATTCTTGGTATAACGGGATTATTCACAGGTTTTTGGGAGATATTTTGATCTGCAGCAATTTGCAGTTTAACTGAAAGAAATTTAAATACATTTTCTGTTAAAGGTGTGTGTGTTTTGTTTCACTCTGCAAAATGACTTATGGTATTTAATAAATTTTGTTTATTATTACACTAGTTATATATATATATTTACATATAGGTGAACAGGTGAATGCAGGCTGGGCACCCGGATGGCTTTTTAAAGCAAATCGGGTATCATTCGGTACCAGTAATTATCCAGTTCAGCACACCCTTCCGGCTTCCAATAAAAGCCGCATCGGGAGTTTATTGACAGTAACAGTATACATACATGGTCACACAGCGGCTGCCACAAAACGTAAATTTGCATAGATTTGGGTGCTTGAAAGAGGTACGCACTTATACTTTTGGGTAAACAGCGAGTGGTGGTTTTATATTCTATACAGCGTACATTACAATTGGCCAGACATATACATATATTTAATACATAACATATACATATCATAGCAACTACATATCATTTACATATATCCTGTTATTAAACGTATACATACTATTAAATACGATAAATATTGGAAAAACAAATGCGTATGAAAAAAAATTATATTCATGCCCTGACATATACAAACCATGACATATACGAGCCATACACATAGATCCAACTATTATTTAAACACATAAAACATATTATTAATTACAAGAAATGTTAGAACAGCATTTCTAACATAACCTATATATTCTAGTAAATATTCTAGTATATATTCTAGAAAATAAATCTATATATTCTAGTAAATATGATAAATATTGGAAAAGCAGGTACATACGAAACATCATGCACATAGTATCTTAACCTTTATATACGATGACATATACATGCCATATACATATATTTTACTATTGTTTAAACATATATATACTATTGAACACGATAAATATTGGAAAAACGCACACTTACAAAAAGTCAGATACATACCATAACATATAATATACGTATATCCTGCTATCGCTTAGGCCCGTACGTTCAATTAAAAATGATAATCATTGAAAAAAAAAACTGATTTATACAAATAATCATGTACATACCCTAACGTATACATACCATGACATATACACGCCGTACACTTATATCTTTTAAACATATACGTACTATTTAAATACGATGAAAATTGGGAAAACAATTACATACGAAAACGTAGGTAAATACCATAACATATAATACATATATCCTGCTATTATTTAAACATAACACGAAAAATCATGTGAATACCCTAATATATACAGAACTCATAAAATTTGCTTTGGTCACAGCTGGCAACTTTGAGCAACTATACAGCAACTATACAGTACATTAAATTAATAGTTCTATTTAATTTCCGTTTTTGAGTACATAGAACTTATAAATATTGCTTTCGCCGCAGCCCGCTACTGTAACTAATATTATTTGAGAGAAGTAAAGCTCTAAAACATTTTTTTTAATATGCAGCGATTTTAGTATGGTTTTTTTTTCCTATTGATTTTTTTTTTTTATATTTAGTGGTTTTGCCTATATACATCGTATCTAGAAAACTCCTATTGTGGCTTTTCTTTCTGTTGCCGGTGTTCGTAGACATATACTTCGAATTATAATAATATTAGTGTTCCGGCAGTTTTAAACTAAAAAATCAATAAAAATTATAAACTCTAACTTTTATACGGTCTTACGAACTTTATAGTTGTGTTTAATAGCAGTTTTAAAGTCTTTCTATAAAACTGAATACAAAACGTTTGACAAAAATGAGACCCGTTTCGTATCATATTCAGGTGTTGCATATAGAACGAAGAAAAAAATATTTGCAGTGCTTCGTAACTGAAACCAAAATAGCAGTTTTAAACAAGGTTATGCTATTAAAAGATTTAAGTGACGAAGATTGCTCTGCAGCTTGTTTTGAAAGGCTGTAGAGACATTAGGTATTTTTTGGAAGCAGGAGAAGTGAAAAATGAGCAACGCCTTCGCCGGGAATCGAACCGTGGACCTCTGGAATACGCGCCCATTGTGTAGACCACCACACCCCGAAGGCATTCTAGGAAAGCGGGAGAAATACCTTATAAAGTATTGATCAATATACTTCCTTCCAAACTCATTCACAGAGTCTTATATAATTTCTTGGTCTAAGACAATGATCTCAAACTGGAGCGACGAGTGGTTAATATGTTCTCGGTTTGTTTTGTCTTCCATCCGTAAAGATTGCGCGCAATGGGCACGACAGTGCATTCCATGTCAGAAAGCAAAAGTAAGCAGACATACTAGAACCCCGTTAATGAAGTTTCCATACCAATCACAGGGATTTGATCACGTCCACCTTGATCTCGTTGGTCCGCTACCTACTTCTTAAAATAATTATTGTTTAACTATGATAGATAAGTTTACTAAATGGCCCGAAGCAGTACCCATACCAGACATAACTGCACGCACAGAGGCACAAGCTTTCTATGACCACTGTATTACTCGATTTAGTTGTCCAGCTGTTATTACTATTGACCAAGGGCGACAGTTTGAAAGCGGCTTATTTCGAGCCCTTTCCCAATTATTGGGAATCAAGAGAATCAGGACGTCTCCGTACCATCCACAGGCGAATGGACATATCGAGGAATTCCACTGTCCTTTGAAAGCTGCCTTAAAAGCATATGATACTAGTAACTGGGTGGTGGCTCTTCCAACGCTTCTGATGGGTTTCCGCTTCGCTCTCAAGAGGACATAGGAGCAACCACTTCTGAACTGGTGTATGGAAAGACGATTCGTCTCCCAGGAGAATTTTTCAATTCGACACCTCCGGAACGCGTCCCCCAAACAGTTTGTGGAGGATTTAAAATCTCACTTTGCCAGTTGCCGCCCGACCACGACTTCGAGCCACGGGCAGTGAACTAGTTTCATTCATCCACGACTTCACGAGTTCAACGCATGTGTTTGTTCGACGCGACGGATTTAGAAAACCACTTCAAGCTCCCTTATGACCTTATGATGGACCATTTAAAGTGCTAGAAAAGCGAGATAAAACGTTTGATCTAGAAATAAAAGTGATTAAGCAAATGATCTCCATAGATAGACTGAAACCCGCTTTTGTAACCATGGACTCTTTCACAAGTTGCTTCCAAAGAGTGTAAAAAAAAACTTCGGACATTTGGTATCACCCGTTCTGGACGATTAATCCGACCCCACGCATCGGTATGTCACATTTCGTTGACACTGCGGAGGGAGTATGTAGCGGCAGCGCCAAACAGGTGATACAGACTCAAAAATCTGGAGAAAAGCGCCAATTGGCGAAACAGTAAACCTGCTGGACAACCCTACGGGCTGGCGGGAAGAGAAGAATTTTTTCCGGCAGTTCTGGGTAACGACTTCAATCTGTGTGTGTGCGTCTGTGAAACAACTCGTCTTGTGCCTTCCACGTGATATGTAACTGCGATCTGTGTTGGGGCTGTACGCTTCCCTAAGCCATTAATATATATCGATATTACTTCTCCTTATTAAATCTCATTCTTAATGTTAAATGCCTATCTCAATTAAGATTGCTATTTTTCTAGGTAAGGTTATCTATACTTTTGTTAGGCACGCGTTACTCGCGCGTACCTCACATTATATTTGAAGAAATTAAGTAATGAAAAATCTGCATAAATGTATGTCTATTTCTCGCATTGTGATAAAACAACGGTACATAGAGCCATCGAATTTTGAATGACGTCATCCTCCTACGAATATGGGCATGTGGAAGACCAAATTTGAAATTTAAATTTGTTTTATTATCGGTTTCATATTTGTAAAACTTTGACGAATTTTTGAGTAGCAAACTCAACGATTTAAAAGCGAGCAATGGCAACACTCTACAGCAGAGAAAACAATCGTTTTTTTATCTCCAGCAAGCGAGGAACTATGTATCGGAATTTCTAAAGATATGCTCCTTTTAAAATAATTTGTGACATTGCTACTGAACTGAATTTTATGGTTTAAGTGCAAAGAACATGATATTTAATAAATAAAGTTAACACAGAAAACGTTAAAAAAACGCCCCTTTGGACGTAATTTAAAATCTGTAACCTTTGAGATTTTTTTTGGGGGGGAGGGGCCTGTATTTTATTTATTTTTTACTTTTTCAAGGAACTAGGATCTTACGTTTAAAATATCTAAAGAAAAATTGGCATAAAGGCTATGCCATTGTTCTGATAATAAAAAATAAAATGTTTTTCTGTGAAATCTGGAAAACAAATCTGAGCAAAAATCTGTGCCTATGTGCTCTTTCCCAAATTGCATTAAATAAAGTAAAACTTCAAGATGAAATTTAAATATTATCCCAATAAAATTCATTTACTACTGTTGAATAACATTAGTTTATTTAAAATAAAAAATTCGATTTGCAAGCACTTAATGAAAGACAAATATTATGTAATATATTATTTTGAAACTATTCGAGGAAAACTAACTTTAAATAATTTCTACAAAATTAAAATGAATAATAACAGCAAGAAAGGTGTGGATTGTTTTATTTAATTAATAGTAGTAGCATATTAAAAGAATTTCAGCAAAAGTGTCTTTGTACTGCTGGCGATAATTTTCATGATTAAAAGACAGTGCAACCATCCAAGGGTTAGTAGTTATAGATAGATACGTGAGATAAACAAAAAACATCCTGATGTTTGATTATTAAAGCATTTTGATAACGGCACTCACAAATTCGATAAGGAAACGAGATATTCATCCATTTCTTGTGCGAGTGGACACATTCGAATGAGATGCATTCAGAGGCATAATTAACAAAAAGAACTGAACGGTAAGCATGTTCCTCATTTTATGAGCCTTGAATGCGACGTCAGATTAGTAAGTGCATTTACTCTCTTCCTTCAATTAGAACTGTAATTGTAACTGTTAATTCCTTCAATTAAACTGCGAAGTAAGTGCATTTTATTTCCATACGGCATTTTGCTTAAATGTGCATCTTTGTGCTTATCTAATTTCTTACAAATATATGCACGTAAGCCCGTGCAAAAAAAGGGACTTTTTTTATGCTTAGAAAATGCATAAAAGCTTTAATAACCCCAAACTAAACAAAGATAAAAGAATTTTTTTTTATTTTATTATTTATTTATTTATTTATTTTTTATTTTTTTTTGCGTGGCGGGCACTATTTTGTCTTTTTTGTTTTTGCATGGCGGGCACTATTTTGCCTTTTTTCGACACTGGCCACACTTTAAGGTCGGACGTGGTGGTCATTTTATTGTGGAGGCACCTAACAGGCGCCACCGTTACCTCTAAGGAAAGGACGGAAATTTAAAACAAACATGGCCTTCTCCGGAATTCGAACCCGGGCCCCTTGGTATAGTACTAGGATTCCCTAATCACTATACCATCTGGGCACCAAGAAACGGAAAATAAAACGTATTCGTAAATTCTAGGTATTGAATTGCGGAATTTTGATGCGACATTCGAATCTTAGAGTTTTACCACCCTTGAAAAGGTTTCGAAACTCAACTCCTAGCTTTCGCGCTCCAAAATTTGGAATGTTTGATTATAAAAAGGAATTGATTTATACGGTTGTACATGTCGCAACTGGAAGAAGCCTAATATTTTAAAAAGTCTCCAAATTATTTATTAATTTTTAAAACACAGTAAATCTCTATGTGTAACAGTGTGTTTTCCAAAATTTCAAAAGAACTCCTCCATTTATTAAATTCTTTACTGAATCAAATACAAGTATTCTAATTAAAGAACATGGTTGTTCTATGGACTTAAACAAATTCGATAGATATCATCTTGTAGTGACTTTAAGTGGTACATGCTTAATTTCCTGCAAATAACCTAGCATTCCTTGCGTAGTTTTCATCTACGTTAATTCAGGAAATAAACATCTCTACTTTACCGTTGCTTTGATTTAAAATACCTTTCAATTTTCTGAAAATAATCTAGCATTTCATGTGGGGTTTTTATCTGTGTTATTTCTCGAAATACACCTCTCTACTTTACCGTTGCTTTGATTGAAAATACCCTTCATTTTTCTGAAAATAATCTAGGTTTCCATGTATAGTTTTCATCCGTGTTAATTCTGGAAATGAACCTCTCTACTTTACCGTTGCTTTGATTTAAAATACCTTTCAATTTTTTGAAAATAATCTAGCATTTCATGTGGGGTTTTTATCTGTGTTATTTCTCGAAATACACCTCTCTACTTTACCGTTGCTTTGATTGAAAATACCCTTCACTTTTCTGAAAATAATCTAGGTTTCCATGTATAGTTTTCATCCGTGTTAATTCTGGAAATGAACCTCTCTACTTTACCGTTGCTTTGATTTAAAATACCTTTCAATTTTCTGAAAATAATCTAGCATACCGTGTGTAGTTTTCACTTGTGCTAACTCAGGAAATAAACCTCTCTACTTTATCGTTCCTTTGAAAATATCCTTCAATTTTCTGAAAAATAATGTAGTATTTCATGTGTAGTTTTCGTCCGTCTTAATTCTGGAAATAAACCTTACTGTTCCTTTGATTTAAAATACCCTTCAGTTTTCTGAAAATAATCTAGCATTCCATGTATAGTTTTCCTCCACATGAAATGCTAGATTATTTTCAGAAAAGTCTAAAAAGTCTAGAAATAAACCTCTCTACTTTACCGTTGCTTTGATTTGAAATAGTCTGAGTACCAGTAAAAAATAAGAACTGTTACTGTAATCATTTTTTCCGTTTATATGCCGAAACTAAAATTGAAGTTTTAAAAGTTTGAATTATATACTTCATTAACTAAACTTCGTTTGTATTGTATTAGTATATCCATGTATAATTTAAAAAAATTGTGTATTCTTAAATTCGTTTTCGTTTAAAGGTGGATTTCAAATATTACTTTAATTAATAACTTTTAAATATTAGGAAAGATGTTTTTTCCTACACTGTATTATTCTTACATGATCTTTGAGACTAAAAGATTTCGAGAAAATTTAAGATTCGTATTCCAGAAAATTTTGTATTTGTCCAATCTCTAAAAATAATCAAAATCCTACGTAGATACCCATATAAATACACTTAAAGCAGGATGGAAATTATTACGGGAATATTGTGGTAAATGTTTTCATGCAAAATAAATGTTAAAATTTATTAAAAACTAAGAAATATGAATTTTCTAATCTGTATTTACATTAAAAATATGCTCTGTGTGACGGCAAGAATTTGCATTTCTGATGAGGGACAAAATATATTTTGCCTTTTTTATGAAAGATAAAAATATACTTTTTTATTTCCATATTCTAATGGAATATTAAAGTAGTTTATTAATTATTATTGTTTCCTACTGAAATACTAATAAAAATAAATGAAACATTTTCTTTGCTTTCGTGTAACATTACTTTTAGAAATAGGAATACGGTGTGAGAACATTTATGTAAACAATGTAATACAAGAGAATATAATGATTATGTAAATTAAATTAACAGTCAAACCAGTGATGTACTTGATTCAGATAGGAATCGATGGACTATAAAACTTAATTTATTTTTAGGTTTTAGCAGCATATTTTCAAGGAATGATTGAAGAATGATTATAAATAATAAAAAATCTTCAATCAATAAATAATGAAACATCTTGAAGTATTATAGTGTATGTGTGCATGTTCTTAGCATTGTGGAAACTCTGCAATATCTAGCGCCACCAAATTTTGAACATATGGCTGTACACAGAAATGTGCGTCTGGAAGCCCGAATTTTGAATTTCAAAACTCTATAAGGTATTTTCTCCCTTCTTCTGCATGCCTTCGTGGTGCAACGGTAGCACACTTGGTGCCTATTTGGGAAGTCCAGGTTCAAGTCCCGGCGAGGGCATTGCCCATTTTTCAATTCTTCAGCATTTAAAAAAAAAAAAAAAAAAAAAAAAAAAAAAAAAAAAAACTAATACTGTACAACTGTTTTTGACTTATCTCATATTATGTGAAAATCTAATGAATTTTTGTTTAACAAATTTAGCGATTTGAAAGCGAGCAGCAGCAAAACTGCTCGAAATATAGCAATTTTGTCTCTAGTGCGCCAGATTGTTGCCATTTAGTAAAAATGGTAATTGTTAAATATAAGTTTACTATGTGTCCTCCGATCGCCAATAGATGGCAGCAATATTTATTTGTAAAAAGAAACTGTGATGTCATGATTATGTATATGTTTTAGTTCGTTTTTGGTGTTCGTCAATAAGTGGGAAATAACGTTCTCTGTTTATTACTTTAAGTTCGATCCAGTCTGATTTATTAGAGACTTACATATATTTTCTTCAGTAATACATAAGATAATAAGAAAATTAATTATCTAATATGTAAATAAGATAATTCATTATCTTTAAATTTTAATCACGAGCCACTTTTTATTAATCGTTTATTGAAAAGCAGTATGTTGCCACTGCCTAAAATAAAATGTTGTTATATTCAACGCGCCAATGTTTTGCCATTCGACAAAACATACGTGATTCTATTTTGAATTTTATCTGTGACTAATTAACAAACCAAGAGATTTGAAAGCAGCACACGCAGTTCTTAACCTTATTTTTTTTTTTTTTTTACTTTTTAATTTCAATAATTCAAACGGAAAGAATTTAAAACAATGATAAGGGTTTCAATAACTTGCCTTATTGAAACCATTAAACACTTTTTTATGAAATTGCACTGGCTCAATAAAATGATTACGCATATTTTCTTTATATAATTAATATTTTAGGCGGCTAGCAGTGTAAACACCTATTTTTCTTAAAATGATTTAAAGTATAGATTTAAAATGTGGAATGCCATACAGGTAACACTTGCTTCATTCTAAATAAATATCTAAGTTATAAAATAAATAAGAATACTCAATATTTTAGAATATTGTATATTTCTGAATATTCGCAAGTACAAGCATGCAGTTGCTAGTGGGAATGTCTAAATATCCCGGACGAAATACACATAAAACATTTTTTAAACAAAGATCGTACAAAAGATTTCTATGATTTGAGGATAACTGGATTTCAATCTATTGAAAAGGAACTGCAAAGAAAATAATTTCAACGTCATTCGAAAGCAATCTCTTTCATTCAAGATCATTTTTATCTCCAGCGCACAAGACTGTGTATTCTAAGGTTATGCTCTTTTTAAATTATTGTGTGATATTGCTGTTGAATTGAATTTTTTTAAGGGCGAAGAACATGATATTTTATAAATAAGGGTAACACAAAAAAACGTTAAAAAATGCCCCTTTGAACGTAATTTAAAATCTGAAACCTTTCAGATTTTTTTCCCCGGGTGGAGCCCTACTCACCTGTTTTTTATTATTCATTTTAATTGGTAAGAGATATAGAATTTTATGAATTGTTATCTTTTACTGCATGCTTACTTGGTTGCATATCAAGTTTTAAACAGTGAAAATCCTTTCCGCAAGACATCAAATGAAAAATGATCATCCTCTCAACATGCTGTCTTTCAGTTATTTCTGTCTCATTCAAGAAATGCTTTCTTAGTCCTATTTCCGCTATCCAAATCCGAACATAACACAGCATATCAGGGTTTAATATGCTAGACACAACATCTCATTTAAGTCCTGTGCTATGATTTTAATAACCTACTCTATGAGATAACACCGAAACTACCAAATAACTCGACATTCCTAGCAATTTTATTACATGGTAGCATTTACTACGTCCACTTAAATAAATAATAATTAATGCTGTAATTAACTTTAATTAAATAATATTAACTAATTAATAATCCCACATAAATTTGCATGATTATCCGAGTAGGATTGAGCTGGAATGATAATAGCAAAACATAACAGAATTTTTTGATTTTAATAAATCTTAAACTCTTTAATTTTATTAAAGACATAAGTATAATTATGTAAAAATTATTTTATTAAACAAATGATAATTGATGCCGAAATTAATATTATTTAAAACAAT